TTTTAGAGTGCCATGGGTAAACAAGCTATGGGTGTCTATACCACCAATTTTCATGTTAGAATGGATACGCTTGCTCATGTGCTGTATTATCCGCAGAAGCCTCTGGTCACAACTAGATCTATGGAGTACCTCAGGTACCATATTCATAGTATTTCCAAAATTCTTTGAAAAATGCAAAGTTGCATCCAAGAAATGCTTGGAAAAATGCATTTTCAGATTCAATGAACTGCCTGCTGGAATTAATGCTATTGTCGCTATTTTGTCTTACACTGGTTATAATCAAGAAGATTCAATTATTATGAATCAATCTGGTATTGATAGGGGTCTGTTTAGATCGGTTAGCATCACTGGCTTTTTTGGTCGTCTTTTTAGCAGACTTTACTTAGCGATGGTTTCGGATTTATAGAACTGCGATAATCGATTTTGGAATGATTGGATTTGTAATAATTAATTTTTTAGGTGTTTTATCGTTCATATCGTGATCAGGAGGCCAATTTAGATAATGCAAACGAAGAATTAATCGAGAAACCCACAAGGTATTTTTTTGTAACTTTTGGATAATTCATCTGAGAACTCAATCTTTAAAATAAATGATGCAATATTCAGGGACAAATGTTCGGGTATGCGACATTCACTTTATGATAAGCTGGATGAAGATGGTATAATCTCGCCTGGAATGCGTGTTTCGGGTGATGACGTTATTATTGGAAAAACAATATCACTACCAGACACCGTATTTTTTTCAGATTTTTCATAGTTTTTAATTGAGGTTATAGGTGTTACGGATTTCTGTATTATGAAAAAAAAAAAATGGTCTCAACAATTTGCAACAACATTAGTGTTGTTTAGGAAGATGATTTGGATGCAACAATCAAGCGATATACGAAAAAAGATGCCAGTACATTTTTACGAAGCAGTGAAACAGGCATTGTTGATCAAGTATGCTTCGAATTTTGACTATTTTTTTAAATTGGAAACTAAATACGGTTTTTTTTGTTTTTGTTTTACATTTTCAACTCTTTGTACTTGAAAATCTATATCTGTAATGAATTAGGTCATGTTGACTCTGAACACGGATGGTAACAAGTTTGTCAAAATTCGTGTGCGATCAGTACGTCTGCCACAAATTGGTGATAAGTTTGCATCAAGGCATGGTCAGAAAGGCACAATGGGTATGATGTACAGACAGGTTGATAATCTTTTTTTGTTCTCTCCAGACACCGTAGTACAGCTTCTTTAGCTTAATTTATCAGAAGAAGCAAAAACGCTAAAAGTTTTATTGCAGAATTTTGGATAAGTTTTGTTGCTTTTGTTGTTTGCGTAAGTTAAATGAATACTGAGATTTTCAGGAAGATATGCCTTTTACAAATGAAGGTATAACTCCAGACATCATTATCAATCCGCATGCAGTGCCTTCTCGTATGACAATTGGACACTTGATCGAATGTTTGCAGGGAAAAGTGTGTAAAATATTGTTTTCTTTTTTTTTCGTAATGAGATTTTTTTCAGGGATACAGATTCTCTATCCTTTTTATTTCTTGATTTTTCGTATTATTATTATTAAACAAAGCGTTCGTCCCTTTTTGGGATTTTTTGTAGGGATTTCAATATACATTTGATTACTGAAAATAATTTTCAGTTGTCCGCGAACAAAGGTGAGATTGGTGATGCAACACCTTTCAACGACACAGTTAACGTCCAGAAAATTAGTAATTTATTACAAGAATATGGTTATCATCTGCGTGGAAATGAAATCATGTATAATGGGCATACTGGTCGAAAACTCACAATTCAGGTGAGCGGAAATTAATTTCGAATTTTCTTGCTTCAAGGTTTGATAGGAGCCCGCCCCGGTTTGATAGAAGTCGTCTTCGCATTCAGGCGAGAACTTCTTCATGTTTTTCAAGTTTCAGAAATAAAGTATATGTTCCAGTTTCCTTCATTGCTGAATATGTTCGGAATTTCTCTTGAATTTAACTGGAAAACTTGACATAATTTTTTTCGAAATCTTGTAGGTTTTCTTGGGTCCAACTTATTATCAACGGTTAAAACATATGGTGGATGACAAGATTCATTCGAGAGCTCGTGGGCCCGTGCAAATGATGAATCGACAACCCATGGAGGGCAGAGCTAGGTATTTTGTTACTTCTTTGTTTGCTTCTATAATTTATGTATTTTTGATTTTGAATAAAAGGTTATCCATGTTGAAAAAATGAATAATTCAAGGGATGGCGGCCTTCGTTTCGGCGAGATGGAACGAGATTGTCAGATCTCACACGGAGCAGCACAATTCTTGCGGGAACGTCTTTTTGAAGTATCTGACCCTTACCATGTATATATTTGCAACAACTGTGGTTTAATTGTGGTGGCTAATTTGCGAACAAACTCATTTGAGTGCAAAGTAAGTAAAAAAGTTGGTTTGTTTGTCATGGTTTGGAACTTCCGTCCAAGTTTTATAATTAATAGTCGTTCATTGTAGAGGTCTTTTTTTATCGTTCATTGTAGATAAAAACTACGATTTTGTACAAAAGATACAGAAATATATGAGCTGCTAAGCAAGAGATCCGTCATTTAAAAAGTGAAATCCGCATAGTCAAGTCACTTCGTCTTGACCATGCTGTTTAATTTCTTTGCAATTATAAATATAAATAATTGATTCTTGTTATTTCTAACAGATTTTTAATACTTTTTAATGTTATTCCCGTTTTAGAAATCATTAATTTACTATATATTTTGTATTAACAATTTTTAAAATCTGTGTGAGAGCAGTAGATTTCATTTATGCAAACAACTTGTGGGTCAAGAAATTATGAATGAAACATTTTCAGGCGTGCCGAAATAAGACACAAGTGTCGGCATTTCGTATCCCATATGCTTGCAAACTGTTATTCCAGGAACTGATGTCGATGTCAATTGCACCGCGTCTTATGGTTTCTTGAACCGCGTCTTATGGTTTCTTGAATTTGCTCATGTTTTTATATTTGTTTTTGTTTTTCTTTTATAATTGGCTTATTTCAAGTTTCTTTGAGAGAAAGATTTTGCCTTTTTTTGAAACTTTTGAATTTGAAATTTTTAAAGAAAAATAGAATTTACCCAAATAGGACACACGTGTTTGAGAGTATTGGCTTATTGCATTTTCATCAAATAAGTTGTTTGGTGAATGAGTTGCGCATTGTTTGTTTCCATTTTTTTTTACTCTGTATAATTAATTGGAAAAAGTCGGATCATTCCACATGTTATGTGTTTGAAAACCTATGTTTACTTCGCTGAAGAAAGCTTTGATTCCACTGAAAGCATTAATTGCTATTGCGCAGAAAATGAATCCATCAAGAAGTAATTCAGTGAGGAAGATAATCATGGATTTCAACGGAGCATAAGGAACTTGATTCCTTCCAAAGGTTTAATGACGTCTTCCCTGCCTATTCTATTAGATGACCATATTAAGTGCCGTGAAGTGCTTCCGCTGAGTAATTCATGATCAGTGCTATGAAATGAATAAATACTGGGATGGCTGTGGCTGCGATACAATTATCCATATGTCAAATTAATATGGAGATGGGTTGGTTGTAGATGTGGTTGACCCAAATGTACATGCCAGGCCCAATATTTCTAGTTCCGATAATTTTTCGAATTCGTTATGTCATCCAATACCTCTCCACTACGGCGACTGTTATGGCTATTACTATTAATTATCTTCAAATCTTCCGGTGCGCAGCAGGTTTTCCTCAGTTTTTTTTCTGCTTCACAGCATAATTTCTCTGGATTGGATATTCAATGGATGTTTCCTCTAATTTGGCAATTGCAAGAATTTATTACATCGATACATAAGGAAATAATAACCAAATAGCATTAGAATGCGGCAATGTGCGCATGTTGAGTATTTATAGTTTAGCAATGGTGACCCAACTTGATCAAACGAGATGGTCTATCCGCAGTCACCGTTGCTTAAGTCTTTAGTCTAATAGATGTAGTCGTTAGGCAGTTTAGTTAGCTGAGAGACACATATTACAACCAACAATAAACAGACAGTTCTGTTGGTGAGATTATTCCGGCACTCCTAGATCAGATGTCTATTTTGGAAAAGTAAATCAATTGCAGAGGACAACGGGGTAAAGAAATTTAGAGAATGCCCTATAGAGTATCTTGCTTGATAAAGGTCCAAGTAACAATTCTCTTTATTAGGCAACCTATCAATATTCTAAGTTATTATTAACTTTAATAAATTAGTGCTGAAGAAGAATTCCAGAAGTACACGCTGAAAATCAGAGAGACACGGACCAAATTATTTACCCGTGGTTAAAACCATGGACTAGAATTGTCGACATGATGAAGCAAAACGCGAAAGCATTCGAATTTGGGGATAAAGTATAATCTTTTTTCGATTGTTATTTCAGAATCCATTGAACCGTCCTATGGGTAATGTCATCATCCTCCCATAAAGTGTTACGAAAATATTTGCTCAATCAACACTTCATGTTTACACTTCCGCTGTTGTCTGCTGTATAGCTTGCAAAATTAACTGAGTTTCCATTTATAGTAGTAGAAATCATTTGAAAAGATGAAGTCTTATATATAACGAAATCTTGTCAGGTATTATCACTGTCGAATTATTGAGATTGGAAAGTTTATTTTAGGCAGAAAATGAACCTCGGAATAATTCAGTAAGTTCATTGCGGCCAATATTTGATTTTTTAAAACCAACGAAGAAGATGAAATCGAATATCGAATCTAAACCGGTGTTAAAATGTTTGCTCGATCCATTTGTCAAATGTTTTAATGAGTTTGGTCGACTTACTAAGATATGCTTACCTTTTCATCATTTTTCTATGGTTTCAATGTTTTAAAACAGAAAGGTGGAATAAAGACACCCGTTCATTTTACTCAAATTTTTATCAGTTTCCAATACATTGGAATTTCTGAAAATCTGCCATTCGTTTGATCACAATTAATCATTTGTTCATTTACATTTTAAATTCATTTGTTTTAAAGTGTGAATTCCTATGTATCCATTTCTTCAGGATTTGCAATCGTTCAGTCCTACTACAACTATCATTACAACTGTTTCACCAAAAAATTATATGTTTGCAAGCTCCCTACTTCTCTCGAAATCTGCATCACCTCAAAGCACAGCCCATATTGACTCTTCAGTCAAAAACGCAACTCTTACCGAACAAACAAAGGTTGTGAATCATCTTTTCATAAGGTCGAAGGTCGAAGAAGGTAATGAAATGGGAAATCAGTTCATTTAATACGTCATTTCAAATCAGTTTGTTTGATATATAAATCAGTTCATTTGATATGTGTTGATCAGAATTCATCAATCTGAAACCAATTCAGCTCGATAACCCATTCACCCTAAAGTCACTGACCAGTTTGCTCCCCTTACCTATTACTGGTCACTACTCGACCATTATGCTAAAATTTAAATCGTCCATTATAAAATACCGCAAATGCGCATCCCAAAACGTGTTTCTTTATCTGACCCATTTCATAACCCATTAATTATGAAAAATTTAACAAAAATTTTGGATGGATTGTTATAATAAAAAAAATTCACAAATACAATTTTCGTTATCCAACTCTGTCTTTAAAATTAACCCAAACCTAGTTTTTGATTTCTTAATGAATTCCTATGTTCACGCACTAATGGACTTGTTTAACCAGTATTAACTTTTTTAATTATTCAATTCATTTTCGAATTAGCATAAAATAAATCCATGCTTCTTACAGCGTTTTAAATTGTAACTTATCTCATTTGGCAAAATATTCTAAGTGTCTTTTATTAAGTCGTAACTGATTAGGACTGTGCTGTTTTAGACTGGTACTGATGCATAGATGTCCATTCAGAGATATCGCTGTTGTAATTCAGTCTATCCTCTATTTGCATCTTAAATAATTCATAAAACGAGAGAATGCTTTTAAACTATGTTTTTATTTCTATTATTTATTTATTTATTTATTTATTTATTTATTTATTTATTTTTATTTATTTATAGAGAATTTATTTATTTAAAATACTTTTAGTCGATAAGAGCAACGACATCAATATTGACACTGTTAGAATCATTTGGTCATAGCCAAAAACATCGTGAAGTCGAAGTTGGTCGTGATCGGATAGTGAACATACTTGGCATGCCCATTGGCCGAAAGGACGGTATTTCATTGGCTCCGTTGAGAGGTTTTTTTTGGATACCATTTAATAATAACATTGAAATATGCAAAAAAGACAGCTTGTATCGAGAAATCAAAGGATAATATCAATTAAAGATTACAGTAATCTTTTGTGCTTTTAGACTACTGAAACAATGAAGATTTCTGCTGTTTTCAAATATTATTCGCTCTTTTTATACAGACTAATCTTTCGTAGGTCTTAGCGTCGGTAATGAGGATATGTTTGGTCCGATCGCTATCAACGATAAATACAATATCTATTGGGGATTTTTCAACGACCTCAGTAAAATGCTCAGTAAAGCTGTGCAATAGGTATTAAATTCAGTTACTTTCCCAACTACTGGAAGAATTTCTTGTGTAAGGTTTCTCGCCGTTTCAAACTCCTATGTCTTCATGTAATTTGTAAGGTTCGATCGAGATTTCGAGAAATTCTTGATAGATATAGCATTCACTTTAGTTAGGAACAATTACAACAATCGTTCCATTCCGACGAGAATGATCCTAATTTGACAATAAACATGTTTTATATTAAGTGGTACCTGTTTTTCACAATAAATCTATCAGGTATTGAGCAGTGATTTAAATTTTTAGGTCGTTACTAAATTTGAGAGTATTGTGCTCTTAGTGAGGTAGAGGCTAGCTCGATACCACTTTCTCGCATGTAAGCTAGAATTTGCTTTATAATTAGAAGGACACTTCAGTTTAACTCACTTGACGAAGTTTAATTAACTAAAGAGTACAACAGCAATGGATAAAACGTTCCCAGAAATAATATGAAATAAATTTTTATACACAAATCAACGATATATTGCTGCCGTAGAAAAAAAGTATCGTGGTGCAATTTACAAACTTAATAGTATACCTAAATGATGAAAGTGAAACTGGTTATTTATATTCGTTTAACACTTCCAGATAATCATTTTCCCAATCATATGGATCGTTTAAAGGTCGATTGCCAGCCAAATTCTATAAAATTATGGCTGAAGAGTTCAAGCTAGTACGAAAATTCGTTTTTTCTTGGGTTGAAAATATCATTAATTACTTCTCTTCCTGAAAAATTCATGACATCCTGATTTCAGGATAGGCTGATAGGTTTATTAGTTTGCAATTTGCCCTGCTGGATTTGATTCATATTCTATCATTTTCACTTTTGTGTTTTATTGCTTTGCATATCTTTAGTTGACAAATCTTACAGTCAACAATTGGGGCATCTACTGCAAAAGCAAATCTCTCATTATCAAGAAAATGAATCGCTTAATTTTGGAATTCCAAAATTTCAAGTGCTACAACCTTCATGGTTGAAATTAAAAATGTATAATTAGGTTCAGCATCTACAGCTAATGTCATTACTGCTCGACCGTATTCACGCAGGCTAGACCCAAAGTTTTCGGATATTTTCACGAAATCATCTTTCACCTGAAATGAAAATATTTTTCTATTCTCAGTCGTCACTTTCGATGTTGTTTGAGAGGGGTTGCTTAAATTTGTTTATATTTGACATCAACATCGATGAATGGAAAATATGAAATTTACCAACTCCATTTTAGCGCTTTTCATTTTTTCATCACTTTTCTCATTCCTCCAAGGTAATTCTCCTTTAAGTATTTCGATAAGTGTGAAAAAAAGTGCGATCAGGTCGTCTGATGGTCCCTGCTCCTTTCGATCATGTACACGCATTGACACGTAGCGCAATGTTCCACGGAAACCAGCTCGTTTTCTTTTCTCTATTGGTTTTCCATCTGACTGCCGAAACTTTCTCGCCAAACCATAATCCACAATGATCAGTCGCCTACTGCTCTGACAAACATGTTTGACATTTTTTCTGTATTAATATCGATACTATTTCAATAAGTTCAGATTATTCACGAATAAAAGCTAAAATCATGGTTATTAAGAAGTTGTTAAAAATTCAAATCTTCAAATAAGTCAAGACACTGTTGTTCATTTGACCATGCAGTTGTGTAGTATCGATATTGTGGATAATTTTATAAGTTACAGGAACTGGTGCTTTTAAGCTTTAATTTTCATTTGCAAAGCAATTAAGGAAACACTGCGGAATCGGGTTCTATTATATACCATCATTAGTTGACCTACTTTTTCGGTCAGACCAAAACACATATTGGCCGGTTTTACATCTCTGTGAATGTATCCCACTTTATGGATGTCACGAAGACCAGCTATTGCCTGCAATAAGAGAATACAGTAAATTCGATTTATTTTAGCTATTTTTAATGCAACTTGAAACGAAATCAACAAATGACATACACCGATTTGTAACAACGAATGTGATAAAATTTGCTTATTTATTTGCGCTATTGATACCACACTGAAGCTCATCGGAGCTCATTTGGTGTTTCAGATCGAGACTGTAAAATCTCATTGCTCAACTTCAAATTCAGGACTTCATTGGACGAAGTATTTCCTGATCGGGAATACTGATAATCAAGCAAAAGAAAAAAAAAAAGCACGAGAGAAATAAAAAAAAGGTGGAGGCAAGTCCAAAATCCAAATGCTTTCTTAGTAGTGACTAATTTTCAATATTACCTGTTGCATGATTCGACCTGAGGTAGCTTTTGATAATCGTTGCAAGGGACACTGCTTTCGAAGATCCGCAACATTCGTTGAGAGTAATTGCATCACGATATAATTTAGGCCACGTTCCGTTCCGGAACCCCACATCAGAGGTGCATGCGGTTGGCCTTGTAGACGTAACATTATCTGATGAATCAGTTATTTTAAACTTCAGAATTTGATATGTATTTTAGTTGCACTGCACTAATTCTTTGCTTAAAAAGTAATTTCTAAATATATTGTTTAAAACTTAGTGTGAAAATCGATTACTTTTTGCTCCAGAATCATTCGTTTAGCTATTTTCCCTTTCCTAATCACGGGTTCCACTTTAACAGCTACTGATTCGCTATTCATTTTTAAATCTGATGCGTAATATATTTCTCCATATCCTCCGCTACCAATTAATCCCTGGAAAAGGTATCATTATTTGCTTCGTTTGTTTTGAATCAACAATATAAATCTAAATTTTATCAAATTTAAACAAAGATTCTATAGAAAGTAATAAGTATTTTGTAGTTTGGACAAATATTTAAATACAGAAAAACAGGTTGAGCATTTCCCAGGATTTAATTATCATTTACTAAATATTTATTACTTTGATAAGCCATCGATCTCGTATTTTCTCACCAAATTTTACCAAAGTATCGTCAGCATCTAAATGTATTGTTGGTCTAAGGTGCTTTACTTTTGTGAATTTCCTGCAACGAATTCATTTTAAATTTTATAAAGTTTGTTTTGCTCTTCACTATATGGAGCATCTTCTAAACCAATATATACAAATAAAACCAATCATAATGTTTTCTAAATAGCTTTATCTTCTAGTTATTATATTCTATCATCTAAATTATGGACTAAACTTCAGGTGGAAACCCTAGCAAATAGGTTATATCACGAGAAAGCTACAAACTTTGGGAGAACGATATTCCGCACACTGGTCAAACTTGGTGTAGCTGTTGGTAGTAAATCTGTAGACGTATTGTCGCCGAATGATGATTCCATTTATTGATGCCAAAAAAGATTTCTTCGTAGCAGCCGCTTTCTAATCTTATAATCTAGAAAATAACCAAACTAACCATAGGACACCTTTACATATACCATTTCAGATTTCTGAAGTATTTAATATATATGAATATTCAATTATTTGCAGAAAACTCGGTGAAAATGAACAAAATGATAAATATTAATTTAATTAGTGATATATAAAGATTATAAAAAGAGCATTCTTCACAGTTTTCCCATGTTCCGTAATATAAAAAATATGTTTCAAATGAGTGAATTAAAACAATGGCGCTTGGTTAACTTCACTTAGGAGATTGATGCTCAACCACATCTAAGTAGTTAGTCTCTCTCTCTCTCTCTCTCGAGAGAGAGAGAGAGAGAGAGAAAATCCATCTTGAATATATCTAAACTGTGCAGCGAGCAACTCTATTATTTTGCTCTCAAATGCATGTCTTTTTTAAAATATTTTCCAGTACTATGCCTTTGTAGTTCAAATCATTTCATGAATTCAATTCACCTTCTTTCTTTTATATTAAAAGTGACAATTATCTGACTTATCTCCTTCAAGTTACAGTATCAAAATCTAATATATATTTTTCTGCGTATTTATTCTATGCTTCGCCCTTTTTGTTTTTAGTGAAGAACCCCGATGATCTCTTTAGTTTTAATTTACAAATTTTCACAAAAGTTTTAATCTCAATGATTTCAGAGAGATTATAAATTAAGCACCAGAAATGTGACATTTGAGAATGTAGCACAGTGAGTGAAAAAAAATATACACATTCAAGTGATACGTATTATCAAAGAATAGGTATAAACTGGTACCATTTAAACCGCTAAAGCTGGCCTGAGCGGAGCGGACGCAACCTCCAATAAGTTTTTTCTGTCCTGGGAACCGCGGGAAAAGTCTATTGTCCTCCTCCTCGCCGCTCCTTGGATTTCCCCAAATTTTAATCAATGCTGCTTTTATGTAGCGATTTCCTAACTTTTTATCTATTTTTCATTTCTCACATCATAAATAGGCATGCCATTCTAATCTTAAATCGCAACACTTAAATGTTAAAGTCAGTTGATCTTTCATCATCTTAACATTAAATAATAATATATTTAATTCCTCAACATTTTCACTGAATCCATTACAATGTTTCCATTCAGTGTTTATGAAGAAAT